TAAGGCAGCAATTTTATTATAGCCAAAAAAAAGATGAAAATGAAGAGACATGTAGGGTAAGGTCTGGGAGAGTTTCCAGTGCAGAACTTCCACATCCTGAAGGGTATCCAAGGGCACACTTCACCAAACAGAAGTCCATGGAACTTCCATGTCCAGAGCCTTTTCTAGACCTTTTTATATACATAGGTATGGACTTCTGGTGTGGCACTGTAGGATCAGCACTGCAAACCACATGTTCAGTGGTTCAAACCCATCAACTGCTCCTTAGAAACCTATACAAGGTCACTATGAGTCCAAACCGAGTGTACAACACTTAGCAACAATGGCATGTAGTAATGATTAATTGAGTTGTTACCCAAATCATTGAAATCAAGTGCCAACCATTCCCCTGACCCCTCTCAAGTCTGCTACATACACGAACAGTATGAAGCTGTGAGCTAAGTCACTTCTTGCCTTTGTACCCCCAACCCCCATTTTGGGTAGCCAATGTCTAAGTTGTCCATCCCTGTCTACCCTGTGTATTGAGGTGCTGGCAATGATCATTGCTGTAAAGATTTGTTCCCTCTTTTGAGCTACTGCATCCATAGGTGTAGGTCAAGTTCATCAAATTGTATCAGATTACTCTTTTTTTCCTCTTCTTTCTTCTTCTAGCAGAGTTCTGATCTTCTAGTCATTAAAGCCATGTCAAGTGGGTATTATCTGCAAGTGTGGGTGTTCTTGTGCATATGTCCTCTCTTCTTATCACCTGGACACTTCACTCTCCACTCCAGTTCTCTGTGGCTATGTCACTGTTTCTGGGCCCAGGAGTCCCCAGGTCTTGCCATACTGCTGGCCAACCAGGTCTCCACCAGGGTTCACAGGAGTCTATTGAACGTGGTCTGACTTATTTAAACAGCTTCATTGCTGTTTTCCCTCACCTCCCCTTATTGATGACCAATGTGGTCACCAGTCAGAGCTCATGTCTGCTCGTGAATTCCCCTTGAGTCTTAGTCTTGGAAGAGGGTTTTCCCTGAGGGGACCCGACCACTTGCCTTGATGTCTCCTGGGTAAGCAACTTGCTTGTTCTTGTAGTAATCAGTCAGACTGCCATTATTGTGTGTGGTTTTTTGTTTTGTTTTTTTTTAATTTTCTGTCAGTCTTTCTTTCAAGAAGTATCTTCTTTTCTTCTAGTCACTCCAGGCTGGTCTGCATGTCCTTTCAAGTGGAAATTTCTCACCTCAGAATATTCTGGATGGGGTTCAGGATTCTACCTATAGTCTTATGCAATGCAAAGGCTCGGCAGGAAACCTCCTTCACTGGGCACGCTGTAGCCCCATTTTAGGTATTCCAATCAGTTATAGGCAGAAGACGGATTTACAAGCTTTCTATGGTGATATTTCTGGCTATTCCTTTCTCTTCTCCTCAAGTGTCTATTTTACAATGGTATGCCAGGGAAACCAAGATTCAAAAGACAGTTAAGCATCTTAACATTATTTTCCCCCTTTTCCCCATTCAAACCATGCCTCAATCCTTATATCTCAGAGCCTTGTTTTTCCAAGTTTGTGCATACATCATTCTTTACCTATGTTCCATTTAGCCCTTGCAAACTTGCTTAACTGTTCTCCCCTCTGCCTTGTTCTTCCATTCCCCTCCAGCTTCTTATGTATTGCCCCACTCCCTAGCACCCAAAGTATCCTGTGTCTATTCCCTACACTGTGCTCCACCTTCTCCTCCCTCCCTCATCCCACCCCCCCACATCTCAGTAAACAGCAAAGAATTTTTTTTCTCCCCCTTTTAGTATGGGTTCTTTTCCTTAGTCTTTTATAATAGTTGTCCTGTGCAGTAATTCTCCTTTTGTGACAGACTAATTTCACTCAACATAATGTCCTCAAGGTTCATCCATGTTATGTAGTGGCTAACAGCTTCCTTGTTGTTCTTCAAGATAGCATAATATTCCATTGTATGTAGGTACCAAAGTTTGTTTATCCATTCTTCATTTGATGGGCACTCAGGCTGTCTCCATCTTTTTGTTATTGTAAATAGTGTTGCTATGAACATTGGTGTGTGCATATCTATTTGTGTTATGGCTCGTATTTCTTGTGGGTAAATACCAAGTAGAGGAATTGCTGGATCATAAGGTATTCCATTTCCAACCTTTTGAGGAAGTGCGATATTGCTTTCCAGAGATGTTGGACCATTTTACAGTCCCACCAGCAATGCAGGAGCCTCCCAGTCTCTCTGAATTCTCACCAGCATTTGTCCTCTACTTTTTTATCTTTGCAGTTATTGCTCCTGTGAAATGATATCTCATTGTTGTTTGGATTTGCATGTTTCTAATGACTAGTGATCGTGATCATTTCTTCATATGTTTGTTGGCTACCCAGTCTCCTCCTTGGTGAAGTTTCTGTTCATGTCCTGTGCCCATTTTCAAATTAGATTATTTGTCTTTTTCTTGTCAAGGTGTTGTAGTTTTCTATTATTTTAGAAATTAGTCCCTTGTCTCATGTGTGGTTGCAAAAGATTTTTTCCCATTCCGTGGGTTCCCTTTTTGCTCTTTTGGTGAAGTTTTTTGATGCATATAAGTTTTTAATTTTTAGTTTGTCCCAATCATCTATTTTGTCTATTTTTGTTTGTGTAGTTTTCAAAATGTTTGTTAGTTTGTATATTCCCTGCATTAGAGCCCTCACATTTGTCCTTATTTTATCACTGATTGTCACATCCAACAACTGGCTATACTCTGCAACCTGCACAGAGTGATTAAACCAGAATACAGGTGATGGGAGATAAGAAATAAAAGGAAGACACAAGACACAAAATGAAAATAGTAAAGTTGAGACCAGGTGGGACACAGCATTCTGATGGAGATACTGTGACTCTGACCTAGTGCCATGAGTTTATTATATACACAAATCAAAAGAAAATACTGGGAGCAGGGGAAATAATGCAAAAACATCTAGTGTTATTGATGCAAGCAGTAAGTAGGACTTTATCAGAAGAATGTAACTTGTGGATGCTAAGGAGACAGAGATGGGGCAGCTAGATGTTTTTGCAGACTAAACTGAAG